TGATATTAAAGTGGCGAATTTGTTGTCCCCTGGCGAGGGTCGATGGTTTGACGTTAAACAAGCCTAGTGGTTCCACCCATACACCTGTCGTGCTATCAAGGCTATCTCGCTATCCCCCCTCCCCAGTATATTGAGGATAAGCTCATCTGGCATGACACATGTTATGGGATTTTCACTGTCAAATCGACGTACCACCTGGTGTGTTGGTGGATAAAGCATGGTACGTGGAGTCCCGCAGTTAGCTGGATACGCCCGTGGTGTACCTCGATTCCACCAAAGTTGTGTATCTTCCTATGGCAAATCTTGCACCAATTTATCCCAACAACGAAAGCCCTTATTGAGAAGGACATCCCGGTGCATCCCTGGTGTACAGTATGTTGTGTAGAGTCGGAAACGATGGAGCATCCCTTTCTTAAGTGCCTTGTGGCCAGAGCTTTGTGGGATCATGCTAGTTTGGAACATCTTGGTCAAGGACTCACTCATCATACTTTCCCGCTTTTTCTCAAAAAAACTGTTGGCTGTCATTCAACACCAGCACCAAGTTATGGCGTGTGTGGTTGTGCTTTGGCGAATAAGGAAATCTCAAAACTAGGTTGTCTTTGAAAGAAAACAGTTTTGAATCCCCGCTCTGATGAGGCAGTACCATCATCAGTTGCATGAGTGGATGACTTTGCCAGCGAAGAGGGTGGTGCGCACTCCCATGAGTGGGGATGGTGGCGTGCATTTGGTCTCCCCTTGTTCTATTATCTGCAGGTGGGATGGGGCAACGAGGCATGGGTCCTGGGACGATTTGCTCAACAAGTTTATGACCCAATATTATCCTCCTTCCAAGACGGCTGAGTGGAGGAAGAAGATCACCCACTTAGAGCAAGAGGAAGATGAGACATTGAGGGATGCATGGGAAAGATTCTCGGACTACTTCCTCCAATGCCCTCACCATGGATTCGAGGAGCAATTTTGGATAGAGACCTTCTATGGTGGTCTCATTCAAGATGACAAGATCCTCATAGACTCTTTTTCCCAAGGAAAGTTGATGAACATGACTCCAACTCAGGTGATCGAGTTGCTCGAAGACATGGCTCTCAAGGGATACGATTGGGGTTTGACGAGGAGTGGAAAGAAGAGCACCGAAAGAGGAGTGCGAAGTGTGGGAGCAAGTGCTCCACTTGAAGCTAAGATTGACAAGTTGATTGAGGTGATCCTTGAGTACAAGAAGCAAAAAAAGAGAGCGGTGATGTCTTGTGATTGGTGTTCTAGCACTAATCATGAAATTGTGGATTGCCAAGCGATGAAGGAGACGAGTACCCTTGAGGAGAAAGTGAGTTTCATTTCCAATGCTAGAGGGAACAACCCTTATAGCAACACCTACAACCCTGGGTGGTGCAATCTTCCCATACCAATCCAAGACCCCCCGGTTTCCAAGGTCCGACAGGCAACTATCAACCTCGGCCAAATTTCATCCAACAAAGGCCTCAATTCCAAAACTCGAACTTCCAACAACCATACCAAGCACAAGGTGGTCAAGGGTTCCAACAACAACAACAAACTGACAAGTTTGCTAAACTTGAAGATTTAGTGACCACCTTTGTGAGCACGAGCTCTCAGAAATTTGAGAAGGTTGAGCAATTCATGGATGTGGCGACCTCAAAATTTACCTCGGTCGAGGCGGGACTCCGAAGTCATCAAGCAAGCCTTCAAAACTTGGAGGTGCAAATTGGCAATCTTGGCGGGATCCTCACCGAGAGATCAAGGGGATCTCTACCTTTCCAAACCATTGCAAACCCCAAAGACCAAAATGCCAGGGTGAATGCGATTCAATTGAGAAGCGGGAAGGTGACTCCGGAGCTTGTTGCCAAAGAAGTGATCGAGAAGGAAGACTCTCTACCAGAGGGTGGAGAAGAAGAAAGCTTGGTAGAAAAGAAAGGAGCGGCGAGGAAAGCATCGTCAACTCCACCGCCAGTGGCTGAGTACACGCTACCCCTTCCTTCCCCCATGAGGGCGCAAAAGAAAGATTGGAAGCGGAATGTAGAGGTTTCATGGAGATGCCCAGAAAACTCCATATCAACATTCCCTTCCTTGAAGCAATGTCCCACATGTCGCGGTATTCAAATTACCTCAAAGGGCTTCTCTCCAAGAAGCCGATGTTCCAAGGCCTTGCTAATGTCACACTAGGTGAGGAGTTCTCCACCTTCATCCTCAACAAGTTCACCAAAAAGCAACCCGATCCAGGTAGTTTCAACATACCTCTTTGCATTGACACTCATCACATAGAAAATTCCGTGGGGGACTTAGGAGCAAGCATTAATGTGATGCCCTTTAAGATTGTTAAGATGCTAGACATAGGTGAACTAAAGACTAGTAGGCTCAGTGTCACATCGGCAGATCGCTTTGTCATTAGTCCTAGGGGCATTGTGGAGCGCGTGCTAGTACGAGTGGGAAAATTTCTGTTATCCAACGGATTTTGTGATCCTTGATATAAGTGAAGATTTGGAAATGCCACTCATACTAGGACGCCCCTTCCTTACCACCGCCAAGGCTTTAATCGATGTTAATGTGGAAACTTTGATTCTGAGAGATGGTGAGGAGAAAATTACTCTTGGAATTGAACCCAAGCCTAGGAGTGAGGATGTAAAGGAAATGGAATCGAATTATATGAATGCAAGTGGAGGAGAGCCTCTTAAGGTGAACCTCACTATTACTGTTATTCCTAGTGGTGATGTGAAGCAAGAAACTAAGGAGGGTATCACACCCAATGAAAGGATGAAGAAAGCTTGGAGGGAAAGGATGAATCACGCTATTGCCGGGAGAAAGTACAAGGGCAAAGCAAAGATCATCGGCCAAGAAGGCCACAACATGGAGTTTAAGTTGGGAGGCAACAAGCCTCGGCCCGAGATCGTGGTGGATCCATTCTCGGTGGCTTCATGTTCTCAAGTATAGGTGTCAAAACATAGCCCGACCCGATTAACCCGCCCGATCAACCCGACCCGCAACCCGACCGCAACCCGAATTGACTAAAAGTCAACAACCCGTAACCCGCCCGACCCGCAACGTGATTGACCCGCAACCAAACTAACCCGCAACCCGACTAACCCGCAACCCGACTAATCCGAACCCGATTGACCCGCAACCCGACTGACCCGCAACCCGATTAACCCGAACGCGATTGACCCGAACCCGACTAACCCGTAACCCGACCGACTCAACCTGAATTTCATCTAATCCACTTGAATAATTATAAAACTATACAATACATAGTTTTTCAAAATAAAGTTTTTCATTCTAAACTTAAGTAAAATTATTTTTTCATTTCGTATAAGAAATTTTAAAAATATGAAACTCACTTGATATTACGCATTTTAAGAAAATTACAAAAATTGAAACATGAAGGTCACTTGAGATCATGAAAATATTAATATAATATATAAATTAAAATTTTGGTTAATTTAACTATTCAATAAAATTATCAATTAAATATAAATAAAGTAAAGTAATGTATTTGGTAATTTGATGTTTTTAAAAGAATAGGAAAATTTTGGTGTATTCAAATTTTTGGGAAGAGAAAGAAGAGGGAAATTTGGTTCTTTGAATTTTTTAGAAAGGAAACAAGTGGGAATTTTGGTGGTTTTGATATGTGGGAAGAGAAAGAAGTAGGAAAGTTTGACTCTTTTGATTATGAAAGAGAAATAAGGAGGGAAACTTCTGACTTTTCAACTTTTTGTAGAAGGAAAGAAGAGGGTAATTTGGTTCTTTCAATTTTATGGAAGAGAAAGAGGAGGGAAAATTGAGTTTTTATAATGTATGGAAGGAGAAAGAAGGAGGGAAATTTTAGTATTTTTGTGAAAAGAAAGAAGGAAACAAATTTGGTTTTTCAATTTTTTGGTTTTTCATAATTTTAGCTTTTGAAATATGAATCTTTAACTTTTATATGGAGGGCATGACTAGTTAAAATTATTTTTATATGCTTTGAAGGCTAATATGTATATATGTATGTAATTTTTTATGGGCTAATAAATAAATTAACCATTAGTTACAACAATTTATACTAAACTTGATAAGTAATCTTTGACGGTTCGTTGTTTAGGATATAAAGTATATGGTTAGGCTATAAGGTATAAGGTACATATGGTTTAGAGTGTATATGGTTAGGGTATAAGATATTGATGGTTTTGACGGTTCTAAGTTTTTTATTAACATATGTTCACTTGAAGTCATTTGAAGTCTTTAACGGCAGGAGATCCCTTTTTAATTTATGTTTATGGTACGTGGTTAGGGTACAAGGTATGTGGTGTAAAGTATAGAATATATGGTTAGGGTATAACAATTAGCAAATATCACTTTTTATCTATGTTTTGAAAATCAAAGTATGAATTTCACTTTTAAATTAACTATACTAGCAAAATCACAACTCAAGGACATATGGTTAGGGTATAGGTTATGTGGTTAGTATATAATGTATTGATGGTTTAGGTTATACAATCAACAACCTAAACTAACTTAATATTGTTGATTGAGGGTAAAGCTAAGTGTATAGGATATATGCTATTGAGTAAGGTATGATTGAAGTCACAATAATTTTACTAAATTTGATAGCTAATCTTTAATGGTTCAATTTTTAGGATAATTCGAACAATTTTACAAATAACTCGTTTGGCAACAGTTTACTAAAGTTATTTGGGCAATGAGTTATTTTGAAATAACTCCTTTATCACTATGCTTTTGCCAAATACCACACGCCAAATACCAGATATGCATGGTTATACTAAACGAGATACTTTAATCCAATTACTACTGAATTAATACTAAAATATCAAATAAACAATTAACGGTGTCTTTTGGTTGCAAATATTGATAACATCATTACTATTAGCTATAATACTTTACCAATATGATTAATTACATAACAAGTTTGCAAGTCATACAAATTGATTTAACATTTTGGCTAGTTTTCTTTCAAAAAAAAATAAAGTATATATATACGAGGTAGAAATAAATTGGTTAAGAAGTTGAGAAAATATTTTAAATTAGTGTAATAAAATGTGTAAGTTGGTAATGAGTTAAGTTACTTGATGCGCTGGCCCGAACAACCCGAAACCCGACCCGCCCGCAACCCGCCCGAGCCTAAACCCGATGAACCCGCAACCCGATTTGCCCGCAACCCGATTGAATCCGAACCCGATGAACCCGCAACCCGTTTGAACCCGAACCCGATGAACCCGAACCCGAACCCGATGAACCCGCAACCCGACTAACCCGTAATCTGTTTGAACCCGAACCCGATTGAACCCAGCCCAAACCCGCCCGAACCCGCCCGATTGACACCTATGTTCTCAAGCATGATAGATCCGAAATGTCAAGCTAGTGACTTTAACTTAGCGCTTGTTGGGAGGCAACCCAATGTAGGTTTGTTTTCTTTTCCTTATTTTGTCTTTTTGTGTTTGAGTGAAGAGTTTAAGTGGTCGAGTTGATATCCCCATGCCAGGTCTTTGTGATTGTTTGTTGAGTGTTTTGAGATGTGTTGTGATCGATAGTAGGCACGGTGGAGTAGGTTGAGTAATTTTTTTTTCGAAATGTCCTATTTTCAGTTCAGTTCACGGTTTGCGCTTGCAGTTTGCAGTCTTAATTAACCGTGAACTGCTCAATGTGTCCGTGAACTAGAGCACTCCGTGTTTTACACAAAACTCGTCGTTTTACCCCAGTTCACGGTCTGCAAGTTATGTTCACGGTCTTAGAGACCGTGAACTGAGGGTTCTGCCTATTAAAGGGGCGTGAACCCCTCAGTTAACTTCACGACCAAAATTTTTGCCGAAATCCTTTAAATTCGCTGGAAACCCACTATTTTACGATGAATTTCATCAATTTCATCAACCTCCTGCGATCCAAATCAAAAACCAATCACATACCCGGTCTTCCAACGTCAAGGGTGACCTTCGCTGCAATTTTGGGGAGATTTGGCTCTGGTTTTTTTTTGGAGAGGCGATTTCCAACGACACCTCTTCGACCTATTTTCGTGTGATTTTTCGAGTCCCTCACCCTCTCCTCACTTCCAATGCATTCCTACTTGAGTCTCCAAGTTGTTTTCGACCTTAGAATTGTAATATTTGGCGAAACGGATTAGGGTGTGAAGTGAGGTGAATTTAGTGAATTGATTATTGAATGTAGAAATAGGGCGAAGGATTAGTTGATTCTAGGTGAATGAATGTTGCATGACGCTTGCTTGCATGAGCTTAATTGAGACTTTGTGGCATGATTTTGATACAAATTGTGTTAAACGTGAAATTTGCCCACCAAGTGCAAAAATGTGAATGAAGGTGGTTGTTTGGTGTTTGTGTGGTGGATGGTAGCCGTCTGCCATAGTTCGGGTTTGATATTGTGTGGATAATCTGTGAAATACCTAGAACCATGCCTCGATGTGCTTGAGCTTAATTGTTTGAATCCATTCTTGAGGAAAACTTTCAATGGCATGGAACCGTAGTGAACATAAGTTTGTGGGGAATTCTTTCCCCCCCCCCCCCCCCATCAGTTGAGTTTGACAATTATTTCCATGTATGGTGCATGTTTGACTTTTTGCAGGATGGTCAACATGAACCACCTGTACCTTTTGGTGCTTATATGGAAACCCTCAATGGAAGAAGAGCTGAGATTTTGGGCAAGCGCTCACTCCGGAGACCACTGGAAACTCGACACTTCACTTAGTTTGATGGTCTTCATTATGGAGATATCATGAGGGAGGCTGTGGCACGCCCACAATGGCGCCGGCTCCTTAAAATGGAAGATGACATTTATGGGGAGCTGCGTGTTGAGCTTTTCAGTACCTTAATTTTTGACGGGTTAGCCCGAGCCATGGGAGTTGAAGCCGCATCTGGGGCAGAGTGTGAAGAGGACGACACCAGAGGTTGCGATGTGAATGTAGCAATTCAAAGATTTTGCCTCCCAGAGCACTAACGAACACCGTTTCGATTAGCACTCACGTTGGCGTCCACACTCAAGCCACAACGGTGCATCATCAATGCACTCCTTGATCGTTCCCTCTACCCGAGTTATCACAATCCGAACAAGATAACTGAGAGGATCTTGCTGGCATTCGCTAGCATGATGGACCCGTCTAGCAATATTCATCTTGGTACGGTCTTATCCACCTCTTTCGCCAGAGCCATAGGGGGAAAACGACGATATGTTATGTCATTGGGGACCTACATCACCCATCTTGCTCGTCACTTCAATGTTAATCTGGTGGACTTCACAAAAGAGGGGCACTTCTTGGGGTTTGAAGAGGGCACCTTGAGTTCCATGCGTTTACTTTGAGCATTTGGACCATTTCGATTTATCTAGGGACTGACTCTACAACCAAGGGTCCCTCCTCCAGAGCAGCCACCTCCTCGAGCTCCCGGCCGCCGCCGGCATCCTGTCCTTCCTCCACCTGCAGCAGCATCATCATCCGGAGTCGGTCGTTTTCTCCTTGTGTACTTAGATCCCTCTTACCATGGCGAGTAACAACACAATGGTCACTAGTGAGTATGATGGACGCATAGGATTAGTTCACGCCCAAATGTTGACTGTCCCGAAATATTCTATCCCCTGGTCAACCCCTTTGAGCATTGTGACTTTGGGGGTCGTTCTCTTGTAGCAGCTCTTCTCTTGTGAGCTTAATGGTGTTTGATAGAATGAACCCCCATCCTTTCTTCGGGTCTATACGTGAGTCGTCCTTGTGTCCCGTAGTCCATGCTTTGGAGCTCCATTGAGGTTCTACATATTAGGATTTTGCGCGGTTCTTGTAAGAATACAAGAGGTAGTGTTGGAGTGAGTTCTTAATTGAGAACATTGTTCGTTAAATGGCATATGTTTCACTCTCTAGTACCCCCCTCAAAAAGAAAAGAAAAGAGAAAAAGAAAGAAAGAAAGGAAAAGTAGAAAGAAAAAGAATCGAAAAAGAATAGAAAAAGAGGTAATAAAACGTGGTAAATAAATTAGAGTGGCCATAAAATCAAAGTGTATGCTCTAGGAAGGGTTTCTTGGCACTCAAGTCATTGAAACACCCAAATTGTTGTTGTGCTCCTTCACTACTATGTTTGAAATGTGTTAGCAAGAATAGGCTGAGGAAGTGTGCTTCAGTGTAGTTCGTGATGGTTGATAGTTTGGTTTGGAAGGAAGTAAGGCTTTTGGCCGATGCTAGTGGTCATTGTGTGTAGGGAAGGTTCTTAGTCGAATCCATAGAACCTTCGATTTTAAGGTGAATATGTAGGACCTCATGTTGTGTTTGCGACCACCCAAAAGGACTTTTCCCCATGTCCAAGACAATTGCCAGTCATTTGAACCCATGTCTAAGACCTCTGGACAAACAAGTGATGACAACCGTCCCGTAAAATCTAGCATTTAGAGGTTGGCGCCATGGTGAAGAGACGATAGGGCCGAATGTTGATGATTGTGCACATTTTTTGCACCAAATGGTCCCGACCCCACTGGCCAAGAGAGTGAGTGATTCATTCTTGCTTTTCATGTCATATCTTACCCTAGTGAGGACCTTTGTTGTCCATTCGTTTACTCCTTGGACTCGAATGTTATGCATGGTTAGTTGTGGTTGATTAGTGATCTTGTTGAGACTTGCATTGATTCATGAACAAGGTGAGAACTTTTTGTTTGCCCGTTTTTGGTGGTCTCGAATGTTGTTTGTGGTGGATGTCGGTATCGCTTGCAACGGTCCATGTGTTAATTGCCAACAGCCATTGAGATTCCCCACTTTGTGCCCTTTGAGTTATCCCCAATGTATTTTTTTTTAGGTTGAGATATTACCTCGTGTGAAATGGTTTGCTTGGGGACAAGCAAACGGCTAAGTGTGGGGGAGTGATTCGGCACTAAATGTACACTTTTTATCCTCGTTTCTCTTTGGCGTTTGAGGCATTTGAGCTCCAAAAAGGGTAGTTTTATACTAGGTTTGCTGGTTTCAATGTGTTTCAGAGTCTAACAGGTGGAACCAACCCCGGAGTAGACAGTTGGAAGAAAAGGCGCGAGGATCGGGCAACGAGGAGGAAGAAGCCGTAGTTCACGGTCCAAGGAATGAGTTCACGGTCATTAGGACCGTTAAATGGAGCCACAAACAGCAAACTGAACAGGGTCTAGAGAGTTTCCAGTGGTTACTGACACCAAGTCAGTTCACGGTCATAAGACCGTGAACTGAAGCCATGGACCGGGAACTCAATAATTGAAGCGGTGCGTTTTAGACTATGTTCACGGTCCCGGCCAGATGTTCACGGCCGTGAACTAAGCGCGACCAGTGTATAAAAGCATAGCAGAAAAGAGGAAGAAGGGAGAGCCCAATGTGAGAGAAACCTTCTTCTTCTTGAAAACCTAGAGAGAAAGCCACAAACCAAGAGGCAGAAGAGGCTAGGGTTTGCTCCAAGTCAATATTTAGGAAGTTCCTCTTCAAGAGAGGATCTCTACAATCACAAGGAGGGATTGAGGCATCACAATGATAGTTTTTCCTTTTTCCTTTGTGTTCTTCCTATTTCTAGCATGGAGTAGTCTCCTTTTCACTTGGGTGTTGTAGAACCCTAACTTCTACCATGTAGTTGATTGTGTGAATTGAATGATTGTGTGTGGGTGGTGTTTAATTTAAGGTTTGTGGTATTTTTCATGGTGATTGTGCATTGTGGGTGCTTGACAATCTATTGTGCTATTCTAACCTAGCTTAGAGGGAGAGCTGGGTTTTCTTGGGCATTCCATGCCTCCTAACTAGGTTAATGTAGGGCAAACCTCCAAACTCAAATTGAACGCCTAGGATGATTGTAATTAAGCCGTCCAAACCCCGGTTTGAGGGAGAAGGTAAGTCAACACTCAATTTCTTGGGCCAAGAGGGCTACAATTGTAGCCTATAATGCATTCCTTGGCCTAGCAATTGAGAGTGTGGTTTCTAACCACTGTTGCTCCTCCTAGCGGTTCACAATCGCCTTGTCGCACACCGATTCATTCGATCCCACGGTTCATGGTAGTTAGTTAGTGGGAAACAACTCCTGAGTGAAGTTTCTCAACAAGAGTTTCAACCCTTTTTGTTTTCAAGTCTTACTTCTTAATCGTAGATTGTAGAGATATTCACAAACAACATTCCGCTAGATGATGTTTAAAACAATCAAAGTAGGGGTACATGGGCCGGCCTGGGTTGATATTTAAACATACTTGCCCTATATTGCACCCATTTAAGGTTTATACTTGGGCCTTAGGTGAGATTTAAGTGTGATATTCGGGTTGATTCAGTTCGCCTACTTCTACTCCCGATCAAACTCTTACCCTGCTTCCACCTTCTCTGCCCCAACTCCGTCGATTTCTCATCTTGAGATTCCAAAACATATTCTCCATTCTCCAACATGACTAGAGCTCGTTTGTTGAGGAATTTCTAGGTCAGATGTCCTCTCCCACGACATTTGAAGCATTGAATGCCTCCACTAGAACCTGTGGGTCTTTCACTTGGTGCTACAACCTTTGTCGTCGACTTTGGTGATTCTAGTTTTGATATGGCTGGCATAGAGTTTGAAGTAGAAGGAACTCATGACCTTGGTGCACTTGAGGAAGATACGAACCTTCTTTCAAGGTTGCTTCATTATGGCCTCTCAACTTTGCTGCCATTGCAACCAAATCGTACAACTCCACAAATGGTTGAATTTCCACCAAGTTTATGATTAATCGACTGAGGCCCTGTAGGAATCGAGCAATGGTGGCTTCACAATCCTCCTCTAGATCTTCTCTAATCAATAGCATCTCCATCTCTTTGTATTAATCTTCTACGCTCTTGGTACCTTGTCCTAGAAGTTGTAGGGCTTGATCCATCTCCCTACAATGGTAGCTAGGAACAAACTTGTTCCATATAATTCCCCTCCTCCCTTCCCACGTCTCAATAGGGTGCTTTCGATTCCTCTTTCTTCTCGTACAAATTTGTTCCCACCACACCATGGCATAATCCGAGAATTCTCGTGTTGCCACTTGAACTTTCTTCTTTTCGGAGTAGTTGAGGCAATCAAAGATCATCTCCATCTTTGTTTCCCAATAGAGATAAGATTCGCGATTGATGGTGCCTCTCAATGATGGAAAGGTGACCTTTATGTTCTTCAATTCTTCTCAAATTCTCGTGGGTAGGCTTCATAATCTTCGTACTTTCCTTCCTCGTCATGTGTCTGAGGCTGACATCTCCTTGCTCGTGGCACCCCCTAACGGAGATGGCGCCTGATTTGCTCGATCATGGGTTGCTGAACAACCCTCTTTTCCTCTCGTTCTTCTTCCCTCCTAACCCTCTAAACATTAGGGTTATGGTTTGTCAATTCTTCATGCGCAAGAGGCTGGGGTGCTGGTAATCTTGTTTCGAATTTCCCCAATCTTATCTCGATTAATGCATTGCGCTCTTGCATCTGTGCTTGCATCCGTGTTGCATGTGCTTGCAATATCGCATCCATGTGTGTAGTAAGTTGCTTCACTAGGTCGTCCATGCTTGTCTTCCAAGAAAATTAATCCCTTCTTCAACCCCCCCCCCACAGATTTTTATCAAGAAAGTACAAGAATCCCTCCAAGATCCTTCGAATACTTCAAGATTCCTCCAAGACCTTCAAGATACGACCCAGAACCTTCGAGACACATCCAAAATCTTTAAGAATGTCGACCAAGAAGCTTCAAGAAAACTTCTTCTCCTCTGTTGCGTTTGAACCTGACTCTTTATACCACTTGATCTGAGCATAGTAAGGAGCTTCAACGATCTTTTTATGATTTTCTTCATGTCGCCTTTCTTGAACTCGAAAAAAATTAAAATATAGGATATAATCAATCGGACAATCTCAACCGTGATAAAGGAAAATTTGTGTATGAAACCAATCGGACATTATCAACTTGTAGAAAGGGAAAATTGATATAAGTTGATGCTCACCACAACTGAACGGGATCTCTAGTTGATAAGAGACACATGAAACTCCTAAAAATCCTTCGACGGAAGCTTGCACAAAACGCTCACAGGGAACTCGAGTAAAATCTTGAAATTGATTGATAAAAAGTTGATCAATTGCAATGGGGAATTTGGCCCCTATTTATAGACTCTCTAACTTAAATCCAAAACATGAAAAGAAAGCAAACAAATGACCAAATCCTACAAGTAAAATGAAAACCTACTTTGACCCATTCAACCTTTAAAACACGCCATATAATCATCCCCCTTCATTCTTTTCATACTTGAGATTCCATTCACACCTTAATTACTTCTAGTTTAAGGAATTGGTCTTCCATTTGGGCTAAGGAACCCCTCAAAAGCCCACTCTTCTCCTCTTGGCCGTCACCTTCTTCCTCAAAGCCCATTTGATCTCATTCAATGAATTGCAACACCAAGATGGGCTTCCCTTTATGTTGGTTCACGTCCATATGATCAAAGTGACGATCAAAGTAGTTTGCAACTTCCTCCCTTAGCCTCTTAGCCCTTAGACATGTCATAGGACCCTCTTGTGATGTTGTAGGCTTGTCTTTGATGACTTTCAGAGTCCCTCCCTCTTGAAAGAATTTGACCTCAAATTCGAATTGTCATCAGCATAAAGGTGTCAAATCCAACAGTGTGAGTGCTTTGTGGTCAAATGCACAACTGTGGTGTAATGCGCAGCTGTGTTGTAAGCAAACTCGATTTGTGGTAGACTATCTTCCCAAGTTTTGATGTTGCTCTTGATCAGAGCTCGCAACATTTTGGAAAGATTAATGATTCAACACTTTAGTTTGACCACCCTTTTGAGGATGACAAGTCATAGAAAACAAAAGTTTTGGGCCCAGTTTGGTCCACAATGTCTTCCAAAATATCTCAAGAACTTCGCATCTCGATAAGACAAGATGGTATGTGGCATACCATGAAATCTCACGATCTCTTTTGTGGAATTAATCATTCTTTTTATTTGATATTTTCATTAGTTTTGAAATAAATTATGTTTACACTAAAGTAAGTAAGTAAATATGTCATGGTTAAAGGAGTCTATAGGTCGTATATAGTCTTTAATAGCATCGTGGCATAACCATCGACGCGATCACGGTACCTAAAAGATCAAATAGAAGGAGATATAGACAAGTAAATCCCTTATGAATTCTAAAATAATCTGAATTCATCATTCAAAGGGAAGTAGACTACTTAGAATTTCATATTTCATTTAGGTCCTAATTGTGCGAAGTGGAAAAGTTTTGATAATTGAATAAAGACTTCAGGAATTCTAAAAAACAGAAAGGAAAAGAAGAATGAATCAATGAAATCTTTGTGTCATCTTCGAGAAATGATCCACCACCACAAAAATTGAGTCTCTGCCTCTTCTTGTCCTTGGCAACCCTAGCACAAATTCCATTGAAATATTGACCCAAGGTGCATAAGGGATAGGTAGTTCTCCATGTCGCCCTTCAGGTGAGGCCAATAGAAGTGCTTGCAAACAACACAATGCCTTGGCTACACCAAATTGAACCATCAATCCTCCTCCTTGAGCCACCTTGAACAATAGCTCTCAAAGTGATGTTCTTGGTATGCACAACTGATTACCACGAACGAGATAACCATCACTCCTATAGAACTTTCCTTTTCCATGCTTCTCACAAGATTTGTAGATCTCTCAAAAGTCAAAATCCCCTTCATAAGAACTCTTGATAGCAAATCCAAGTATAATAGATTCCATAGTAGTGATCAAAATATATCTCCTTGACAATGCATCAGCAACCACGTTCTCTTTGCCTTGCTTGTACTTGATCACGTAAGTGAATGACTCAATAAACTCCACCCAATGAGCATGCCTCTTGTTTAACTTATGTTGAGCCTTCAAATACATGAGAGACTCATAATCAGTATGAATCACGAACTCTGTTTTCATGTCTCCAATGCTCTAACCAATGCATAGAGATCCTTTTCATATGTAGGATACTTAAGTGTAGCACCACTCAACTTTTCACTAAAGTAGGCAATAGGCTTCTTCTCTTGCATCAATACGACTTCAATTTGCCATCCTTTGTACTTGAGTACCTCAAAGTCTTTTTCTTGCTCTTCGCCCAATATAATGCCACATTCTTCTTGATAATAGATGTCAATGAGGCGGCTATGGTGCCGAAATTTGGGACAAATCATCGATAGAAGAGAGCCAACCCATGAAAACTCCTCGCTTCATTCACATTGGTAGGGGTTGGCCATGCTTGAATCGCCTTCACTTTCTCATCATCAAACTCAACACCATTCACACTTATCACGAATCCTAGAAATACCATGCTCGAGGTACGGAACGTGAACTTCTTAAGAATGGCATAGAGCTGCTCCTTCCTCGAGGTCTTCAACACATCTCTTAGATGATCAATATGTTCCTCCATGTTCTTCAAATAGAACATAGTGTCATCAAAATAGACAACCATAAACTTCCCAATGATCGAAATCTGTCAGCACGTGGTTCATCAACCTCATGAACGTGTTCAGCGCTTTAATCAGACCAAAGGGCCTTACCATCCACTCGTATAAGTCGTGCTTCATTTTAAAAGCAGTTTTCCATTCATCTCCTTTCTTCGTAAGAGTTTGCTGATAGCCTTACCTCAAATCAATCTTCGAAAACAAACAAGAAGAATGCAATTATCAACACACATTCTCCATGTATGGTCCTTGTTTGGCACAAGGATGACAGGAACTACGTAGGGACTCATGCTCTCCCAAACATGTCCTTTCTCCATAAGCTCATCAATCTGCCTCTACAACTCCTTCGTCTCCTATGGATTTGTCCTATAATCTGCCTTGTTTGGGATGGTAGCTCCAGGAATGAAAACAAGTTGATGTTCTATCCCGCCGACTGGAGGTAGGCCTTTTGGAGCTTCCTCAGGAAAGACATCATCAAATTCTTCTAATACCACTCGTGCCCTAGGTGGTATGTCTTGAATTAGCTCTTGATTGAGTAGCACACCCTTGTAGATGATCATGATCATGGATTCACGATCATGCGCTGCTTGCTTCAAGTCTCCACTTCGTGCTATCATCAATGACTTGGTCTCCACAATAGTAGGTCCTTCTTGCATACTCTTGCTCACGCTTTGAGACTTCTACTCATTCTCCTTCCCCCTATTTGTTCCATTTGGAGTTGATCTTCAAAGAATTCCATGGGAGATAGGGGCTTTAACACAAACTTCTTCCCACCATGCAACAATTTGTACTTGTTTGTAACCCCATCCTGATGTGCATTTCGATAAAATTGTCATGGCCTTCCAAGTAAGACATGTGCCGCTTGCATAGGTACTATGTCACAAAGGACCTCGTCCTTGTATCCGCCAATTTTAAACTTCAATAGGGCTTGCTTTGTGACTTTGATAGCTCCATGATAATTAAGCCATTGAAGTGTATAGGGCTTGGGATTCTTAAATGTGCTCAATCTCAACTTCTTAACCACACTTGCACTCACAACATTAGTAAAAATTCCACCATAAATCACCATTGAGAGCAAATTTCCATCTACCACGCACCTTGTATGGAACACATTTTCTCATTGTTCAAGCTCCTCTTTTTGTTGCACACTTAGAATTATTCTAGCCACGAGAAGACTTCATGGTGGTGCCTCCATCTCTATTGACTCATCCACTTCAGAATCCGAATTTTTCTTCTCTTCCTCTTCATATTTCGAAACATATTCTCCACTCTCCAACATAGCTAGAGCGTGTTTGTTTCTCCATTGGTTGGCCATATGCCCTCTCCCATGACATTTGAAGCATTGAATGCCTCCACTTGACCTGCGGATCTTTCTCTTGGTGCTTCAACCTTTGTCGCCGGCGTTGGTGCTTCTTGCTTCGATATGGCTGGCCTAAGGTTTGAAGTAGAAGGAACTCCTGGACTTGGTGCACTTGAGGGAGGTACAAACCTTCTTCCAAGGTTGATTCGTTGTTGCCTCTCAACTTTGGTTGCCATTAAAACCAAATCGTACAACTCTACAAATGGTTGAATTTCTCGATTGGGGCCCTGTAGGAATCATGCAAATGGTGGCCACACGATCCTCCTCTGCATCTGCTTTAACGATTAGCCTCTCCATCTCTTTGTAGTAATCTTCTACGCTCTTGGTACCTTGTCGTAGAAGTTGTAGGGCTTGATGAATCTCCCTACGATGGTAGATAGGAACAAACTTGTCCCGCATGATGCCCCTCATCTCTTCCCACGCCTCAATAGGGTGCTGTCTATTCCTCCTTATTCTCATACAAATTTGTTCCCACCAACCTTGGCATAATCCGAGAATTCTAGCGCCGCCACTTGAACTTTCTTCTTTTCATAGTAGTTTTGGCAATCAAAGATTATCTTCATCTTTATTTCCCAATCAAGATAATCCTCGGGATTGGTGGTGCCTCTAAATGATGGAATGGTGACCTTTATGTTCTTCAATTCATCTTCAACTTGTCGTGGTTAGGCATCATAATCATCATACTCGCCTTCCTCGTCATGTGCCTGAGGCTGGCCACCCCTTGCTCGCGGCACCCCCAAAGGGAGATGGTGCTAGTTTTCTCGATCATGGGTTGTTGAACAAACCTCCTTTCCCCTCGTTCTTATTTTCAACATTAGGGTTAGGGCTAAGGTTTGGCGGTTATTCATGCGCAAGAGGTTGGGGTGCTGGTAATCTTGTTTTGAAGTCACCCAATCTTGTCTCGATCGATGCGTTACGCTCTAGCATCTGTGCTTCCATCTGTTGTGTGTGCTTGAGACATAGCCTGAATCTGTGTAGTAAGTAGATCTTTAAGAATTTCCAAGAAGCTTCAAGAACGCGTAAGGAACTTCAAGAAAACTTCTTCACCTCCGCTGCGTTTGAACCAGGATCTTGATACAACTTGTGACCAAATTACGCAACTTCAACAATCTTTTTATTATTTACATGATGTCGCCTTTCTTGAATTCGAAAAAATAAAAAATAGGATGGAATCAATTGGACAATCCCAACCGTGATAAAGGGGAATTGGTATATGAAACCAATTGGGAAGTATCAACTCGTGGAAAGGGAAAATTGGTATAGGTTGATGCACGCCGCAACTAGACATGTTCTCTAATTGATAAGAGACACGTGAAAACTCGTGAAAATCCTTCGGCATAATCATGCACAAGACGTTCAGAGGGAACTCGAGTAAACTCCTGAAATTGATTGATAAAAGGTTGATGAATTACAATGGGAAATTCGGCACCTATTTATAGACTCTCTAACTCAAATCCAAAAAATGTGGGGAAAAAGCAAAGAAATTACCTATTTCGATAAGTAAAACGAAAACCTACTTTGACTCATTCAACCCTTAAAACATGCCATATAATCCGCCCCATTCATTCCTTTCACACTTGAGATTTCATTACCACCTTCATTACTTTTAGGTAAAGTAATTGGTCTTCGTTTTGGGCTAAGGAACAATAATTTGAAAATAGGAAGAAAGAGAAGGAAATAGTAGGCTAAGATGTGGGTTGCCATTTTCACAACCCATAAAAGGGTTGTCACAAGATCTCATCCCTACTTCTGTAATGAATTTGTTTTTCTGTTCCTGTTTTCCAATCTTTAAGTTCACCACTACCCATAGGATTAAACACTCTCTCTATGTATAGTTGTATATATGACCATCGTTATTAATGAGAACATTGTGAATTCCTTTTACTATTTTAGAGTCAACATCAAGATTGTGCGGTAAAGGCAAAAGAGTCAACCAAGGTAGTCAACGTTGAGAACAAGGTTGGTCTCGAGAGGGGAGGACACAAGTCTTCTTTTAGCATCATTGTTTTATTTATTTAATATTGATATTAGTAATATTTTTGTCGTATTAAGGTTATTCATTAGATTTTTCTCGTATTTCCCTACAAAAAATGTATTTTGGATTACGTCATAAGTAATCTAGAAAAGTCTACTCAACTCTAATCTATATCTCTCAATCTCGTCTATCTTTTCCCTTAAAAATATCGGCAGTTCTTCCCCAAATCCTCTCCAATTCTGTTCCTTCTATCTCAAATCACTAAAAAAATTTCACAATCCATTTCTTGTATCATAATTGTTAAGAGTAATCACTATTGCCCAAGATAGGTAACTCGACCCGAAGACACCCTAGAAGAGAGTAGTTTCTTGCCGGCAGCTCTCTAAAATTTTTAGGAAAGGATGACTCTAACGTTAGCAATGTTGGCACGAGAGTAGGTGGGCATCCAATTTGGGTTCACTCTTTTGAACCTAACCGAACCAAACTGAACCCGAACCGAACGAGACCGAATTGCATACTAATCGATTCGAAATTCGAAAGGGAAAAGTCATACTTCAGAAATCAGGGTGGTTTCAACCGAACCGGAATTCCGAACTGAACACTTGAAAATACATATCCAATCCCACATATCAGGCCCGAGCTGACCCCCTGGCCCATAACTCTCCTACCCCAGCCCACTTAAATGCATTCTGTCAGTCCAAACCTCACATCACTCAGCCGTTAGCCCAACCAGCCCACACTAATATAAAATTTCCCCACTCGCCGGTGTATAGTGGGGAGTTTCTTCTTTAGGAAGAGGATGCAATGATCCTCTTCTTTTTCATATTCCCAATTTGCTGCAGATGTATGGCTCTGCTGGGTTGGTATTAATGGATTATCATTCAAATCATTGGAAGACTACAACAGCACAAGATGCCAAGGTGGTATTTGCTAATTGCACGGGTTGGGATGTTCGCGTTGTTAATGCGGGTGTCATAGATTTGTACTTTTCTAGGTTTGGTGGCAAGAAGTATTCTTGTTGGAAACAGGGTGGCTCATTTGGTGGCCACTCGTGCTCCGTTTTTGTTGTCAAACACACGAATTCTTATACGAGGATCACACGAACACACGAGATTACGTGGTTTCCCCAACGATGCTCGTTGAGACTAGTCCACGGCACTACGGCAGAGAGTTCTTATTATCACCAACAATACTTGACCTAGGCGGCCATACAACACACGTATATATACAAGCTATTAACCCTACTTTGGACAATTGCAAATTGGTACTTAAACTTCTAACACCCTCCCTCAAATTGATGTTGTCGTAACATCAATATGTGTGCTAGAAACCAATATCGTGCTGACGCTACCGCCTTAGTTAACAGGTCTGCAGTTTGATTCTCCGAAGTTATGTATGCCAGTTCTACTTCTCCTTCAACCACCAATTGTCGAATGTAATGCACATGAACTTCAATATGCTTTGTCCTGTCATGAAGTACCGGATTAGTAGCAATTCGAATAGCACTGGTGTTGTCCACATGTAACCTAACTGGTGGCTGAATCGAAACTCCCAATTCGGCCAGCAGTCTCTTGAGCCACACAATTTCCGATGCCACTTCACTCATAGAGCGATACTCAGCCTCAGTAGAAGATTTCGACACACGATCCTGTTTCTTGCAGCGCCATGAAATAAATGAGTTGCCCACCTTCACACACCAGCCTGATGTAGATCGTCGTGTATCAAGACACCCCGCATAGTCAGCGTCTGCGTAAGCTTCCATCACTGCCTCTCCTCGCACTAGGAATAATAACCCCACATCCAGTGTCCCTCGAAGATACCTCAGGATCCGCTGCACTGCTGTCCAGTGTGAAGTCCTCGGAGCTGTCATAAACTGACTTACCACCTGAACAACATATGAAATATCCGGCCGCGTATGAGTTAGATATATAAGACTGCCCACAATACCTTGATAGACTGACCCATTTTGCAGAAGCTCTCCATCTGTCTTGCGAAGTTTGAGATTTTGTTCTATAGGCATCGAGCAAGGTATACAGTTTTCCATCTGTGCTTCCTCAAGAAGGTCTATAACATACTTCCTTTGACCCACATGAATGCCTCTTTCGACCGATGAATTTCTAACCCAAGAAAATAGGAAAGATCGCCTAATTCCTTAAGGTTAAAAGTTGACCGCAAGACCTGTGTGAGTTCACAAATACCCTCCTTGTCATCTCCACTGACTACCATATCATCCACATAGCTTAAGATTACTGTGAGACCACAAACTGTAGAACGGAGGAAGAGTGAGGGGTCACTCTTACTCTGCACAAAACCAGCATGCATGATAGTGTCCTGGAGCTTTTCAAACCATGCTCGAGGAGCTTGTTTCAAGTCGTAGAGAGATCACTTAGCCGATAAACCATAGAGCTATCACCTTTCTTATATCCCGGCGGTCGTTCCATATATATTTCTTCTTTGAGATCGTCGAGGAGAAAGGCATTCTTCATGTCCAACTGAAAAAGTGGCCATTCTGTCATTGCTGCCACTGTCAACAAACTCCGAACTGTCTGCATTTTCGCCACCGAAGCAAAAGTTTCTGAGTAATCCACACCATGCTCTTGACGAAATCCTTGAGCAACAACTCGTGCTTTGGATCTCTCTACCTCACCGTCCGGCTGCATCTTTACATTATATACCCATTTGCTTCCGATAACCGTAACATTAGGAGGCCTAGGGACTAACTCCCACGTCTGAGCCGCTTCAAGTGCATCTGACTCAACTGTCATGGCTTTCTCCCAACAATCAATCCCTTTTGCTTGTTTGTACGTCGCGGGAATCACAATAGAAGGTGTGGAGAAGGCCACAAAGTCGGAGTGGCTCAGGGGAGGTTTTACTTTGTTAACACGTTAGGAGCGCCGTAGGGGTGGGGCAACTTCATCGACCTCATGGAAAGATTCCATGGAAGCCTCGGAACTGGATCCACCCGAGCTGAACGAGGACGTCGAAGTAGTGGAAGCTGCCGAGTCCTCCGTTGGAGCGCTAGAAGAGACTGTTGCCGAGGAACTAAGGGAGGTCGAAGATGACTCGGAGCTTCCAGAAAAGTCTAGCTCCAAGCTAGAATGTGGTCCACCATCTCCATCATCATTTCCTTCGTCATCTATCACTGGTGCTGCATGAGATGGAAACTCAAAGGCCTGAAGAAAATCAAGATTCGGCGGTGGTGATGTGATAGAATCCAACGAAGCATAGTAAGGAATATGTTCGAGAAAAACAACGTGTATTGAGATGCGAATACGTCGATTACCGACGTCATAGCAAACATAACCTTTTTGCTTGTCACTGTAGCCAAGGAAAACACATCGGACAGCTTTTGGAGTGAGCTTATTATGTTCCCTGCGAGCCAAAAGAACATAACAAGCACACCCAAACACATGAAGTCATCCATAGTTCGGAAGTTTCGAGTATAACGCCTGATAAGGACTACGTTCCTTCAAAACAGACGTGATCTGACGATTAATTAGATAAACCATCGTGTGAACTGCCTCCACCCAAAACCTAGAAGGAACCTGCGAGTGGAAAAGAATAGCCCGAGTAAGATCGAGCACGTGACGGTGCTTCCTCTCCACCAACCCATATTGTTGGGATACGCCGGGACATGATTGTTGTATGAGAATACCCCGGTCACGTAATAAAGCCTGCAAAGGATGTGAAGTAAATTCACCTCCTGGATCCGATCGCAGAATCTTCATAGTCTTACCAAACTGTGTCGATACCATCTGAAGAAACTCCTACGGGATCGTGAGCATTTCAGACTTCTGGCGCAGAAAGAAAACCCAGGTGAACCACGTAGCATGATCAACGAACAGGGTAAAGTACCGGAAGCCCATACGAGAAGTCACTGGCAAAGGACCCCATAAATCAGTGTGCACAATATCAAATGGAGCTGAATAAACAGTCTCACTAGAATTAAATGAACTTTGTGATAATTTGGCTTGCAAGCAATGAACACACTCATGCTCCTGATCAATAACATTCCCACCAGATAACCACTTATTCTTAAACATAGTACGCAGTCTAGCAGAATTAGGATGCCCTAAACGAAAATGCCACAAATCCCAGTTTGATAACTTAACAGAGAAACCCGAAAAATCAGAAATGTTGCTAGGGGACTTTCTATCTGCTGAATAATCTTCTCGAGTCTCTACTGATAACGAGTCCATCTTCCCAGCCTGCAAGGACTTTGAGTCTCCTCCAATTTTCCCATTAGGTGCCCGAGAGTAGTAATCCAGCAGAAAGACACGACCCTTCTTACTCCCTCTCCCTAGTTCCTTCCCCGTCCTCGTGTCCTGCACAATACATCCATCCGCATCAAATATTACCCGACAACCATCCTCTACCAACTGACCCACAGAAACAAGACTAGGAACGAGTTTGGGAACAAATAGAGTATCTGGGAAAATATTAGGCTGACGTGCATGACCAACTCCCACAACAACCATTCGGGACCCATCAGCAGCCTGTAAATCCAAACACGTACTAGACGGAGCTAGCCGCCTAAACACCTTGGGCAAGCTCGTCATGTGATTATATGTCGCAGAATCAATATGCCAAGAAGAGTGAGAAGAAGAACCCGAACCCGTAGAAAAAGCTGAAGTTAAGGCAGTAGGCAAAGCATCCTTCAAGGCCTCTTGCACAAGACGACGAACATCATCCTGCGTGAGGGGGGCAGTCACCGAACCTGAAGAACCAGCCGCACCCGACGTTGTAGCATAAGCACTTCCGGAGGCATAGCGACCTTGGCCACCACGAGGGCCACCTGATCTAGAACGACCCCGTTGTGCAAGTGTGGTACATGTTTGAATAAGATGACCATCCATCTTGCAGTAGTTGCATGAATTACGTTTAGGATAATGGAACTGAATATGGCCCGGTTTTTTGCAGTAGTGACATATGATCTCACCCTTAGCCGTGCGATGGAACTGAGGCTTCCCACCGGGATGAACCGCAAACATAGCACCAGGATCAGCAGCATGGAGGTCGAGCTTAGCAAGACTCTTCAACCTGGTCTCTTCCCGCATCATCTAGGAGAGAACTTCCTCCATGGTGGTGCATCGCGATGTAAGAGAGAGGCACGAATGCCCTCAAATTCGGGACGGAGGTTCATAATAAATCTCATAACCCGGGAACCAGACCTCTCTTGAAGAACTTCCGGCGTCACAGCAGAAGGTGCAAGCGAGCTGAGGATAAGATCATGTTCAGTCCAAAGGGTGACTGCCTCTTGGTAGTAAGAACTGATGTCCCGTTCGCCCTGACGAAGCACGACCAGATCTTGCTCCACATCAAACTTGCGGGACGCACTCGCCTTAGAGTACAACTTCGTGAGATGATTCCACATGTCACCAGCAGTAGCAAAACCTCTCAAACTGAGAGCAATTCCAGGATCCACTGAACCCACCAATGCAGACATGACCATCGCATTGTTCGCCGCCCGCCTTTTCTTTCGCGGGCGCATCAACAGTAGGCTCCTTAGAGGAGCCATCGAGAATATGAAACAGCCGGCGCCCTTGAATGTGAATGCAGAATTGAAATTCCCATAAAGCAAAAAAATTTCCCGTAAACTTAACCGAGATCGAATCAACCTTGGAGCCTTCCATGAATACGATGCAGCAGGAGAACACAAGATAATGGCCAAACAAGAATAAACAAAATCCAAAGCACAAGAAGCAAGTACCAGAAACCCAACCTGCCCACAAAAGCCTTAACCGCACACGACCCAAATAATATCAGGATACTCACGAAGGCAACGCAGCCACCACACAAGAATCCACACGATCCCGAACAACTCAAACGCTAGGAGCGGCAGGCTCTGATACCATGTCAAACACACGAATTCTTATACGAGGATCACACGAACACACGAGATTACGTGGTTTCCCCAACGATGATCGTTGAGACTAGTCCACGACACTATGGCAGAGAGTTCTTATTATCACCAACAATACTTGACCTAGGCGGCCATACAAAACACGTATATATACAAGTTATTAACCCTACTTTGGACAATTGCAAATTGGTACTTAAACTTATAACATTTGTCGCCTCGAATGGTTTTGAGGTTCGACTTCGTTGTTTTGTTTGACGGTAGGCTAGTTCTATTATAAGAATACGGGTCTTTGTATGTTCCTCTTTTCAAGAGTGACCTAACGGAAAAAAAATCCACTCCCTACTTTATTGCAGTCTCCAAAATTCATCGAACTTCTCCACCTTTCCGCCTCCCTCCCTGTCCCTAAATCCCTAAATCGAGAGCAGATACTTCTCGTTTGCTTAGAAGACCTCTCCTTTTTTTAGTTCGTCTTTTGTCTTGCTCCAAGGCTCCTCAACCTCATACATGTTATAAACGCGCTGCTATGGATCGGGAAAATGCAGGAATCGACAAAGCAATAATACGAAAGCGAGAATCGAAAACACGACATACGATTTACGTGGTTCACTAACACGATGTGTGTTAGCTACGTCCACGGGCAAGAGAGAGCCAGTTTCACTATATCAAGGAGATTACATATTACAGAGGAGTATGAGAAGTATTTATAGTACTTCTCCATGTGGGTCTAAACCTAATCCAATCTGGCAAAGGAAACGGTTACAGACCAGGCCCAGAACCCGAACCCAAATAACAGCGAGACCCCTGATTACCAGTCGTAGCGGCTGATAATCTGATTCAAGTCACATCAACAAATCTCCACCTTGACTTGAATCCTCTTCCTCTGAAATATCTGATGTACTCTGCTCCTTCTATCTCTCTCCCGCCATCAATGCCCCGCAGGGCGGAGTCACCCACTCAAGACATTCAGCAAGTCCAAGCAGTGTTGGAACTTGCAATGTGGAACCGGCTTCGTGAACATATCAGCAGGATTAT